CTTATGCCTACTTTCGATCGATGACTACAATCCGTTTTGAGTTGAGAAATTGTCGAAAATCAAAATGAAAAATTGAATCCGTTACCGGCAGTCTGTAATTAGGAGCAGTTTTTCTAAGTACCACAAGAGAGTTGTTCGTATACAGCTATTTTAAAAAAGGTTGAATGGGAGAAGAGATAACTAGCTAAAAACTAGTGTGAGCTGCGTCGGTGTTTCTAATGAAACAGTTATGATAAAAAGGTAAATTATACACTGAAAAGATGAAAAAACTTACTAACGTTTCGGACGCTAGTCCTTCGTCGTAGTAAGAGAGAGAGAGGTGGTAGAAAGGAGTGCTTATGTGATAGAATAAGACAAAAGAAACTATTGAGAACAAGGTAGGCAAGGAAACAAAATGGGAGAATGGCGATAGGCGATAAGTGATAGGAGATTTGTTGCATGGCTGTAGCTTTTAGCTAAGCACATTGACCACGTTATAAGATAAAGGTTATTATTATTATTATTATTATTATTATTATTATTATTATTAAGATCACAAGAATAGCTAGAATGATTCGTATTTCTTATCATTATTCTTGTCAATAACACAGATTTTGTTGTTTGAGATATTTGGTGTTCATGCACGTAGTCGACAAAACCATTTAAAAAGCTTCGATTATTCACGTTTAGATGCATGCCATGCCCACTGTGTATTTCGGTCGTGCATTCGTCTATCACAGACCGCCATTTGTCGTTCGTCCCTTCAACGTTTTTTGAARTAGCTGTATTCTGAATGTCGAGGAAAGACATGAACATTTCAAACAATTTCAGTCTCTAGAACTCAAGTGGCAAATTTATCATGTGACATGCAGGTACTCGTTTCTTTTTTTTTTTGTTCTTTGTTTGCAGCAACTCATCTAAAATGCAGCAACTCGTTTGTTATATGTAGCAAATCGTCTAACTTGCTGCATGTCACTTATGGGCCGACCGTTATTGAAATACTAGTCAACGTGTAATAGTCAAATAAACACAAAAGAAGGTTCAAGGTCATATCATCGAAGCTAAGACCGAAAAGCATTTTGGGTACTCCGAAATGTGTATTATATTTGCAACATGTTTACCTCAATTGTAGCCATTACTTCTCTTTTTTTCCGTAGAAACACAGAATACATTTCTTTACTTTGCATGGTATAAATCGTTGCAGCTCGAGTCATCGTGATAAATCGTGACGACAGTCTTATTTTAGAAACCAAAACTAGGCTAGACCAACATGTTGTACACACTCTTTTAGAAATAAAGATTACTCCATTATCTAATTTTTTTTTTTTTTTTGCGTTTAAAAATTTCTATGCTAATATCTGGTATAGAAATAAGTTTGCTACAGAGTTTCATCTTGATAATGGAAATGGAATTTTCAGAATTTTGACTCGCATTTTTGTTTGCTTTTTATTTCTTTCGTGATACATAGCTTTAAACTGTCATACCACCCAAGCCGAAACTCTTTATTCATAAAGAAGCTGTATTTGATCGAAAACAGGATCTACGGATAACAACCACAAAGATATTCAGAAGTCAAACGGAAATGATGATTCATCCCTAACTGAATAATATATGACTTTCCTTACAACGAAGATATAGATAATATCTTTGCTCGTCATGAATCTTAACTTTTGGGGCTTGAAGATCTTGAAGTTATATCGCTTAAAATCTCGGCATTTTTATATCTTTTTGAGGTAAAGCAAAGCTCTTTTCAAAGCGTCTTTAATTTATAACGTTGGCGTCAAAACGCTTTGTTTGCACATTAACACAATAGATTTTCCGTCCACCCACCCATCACACCCTGACCATTACCATTGATACCACAACGTATTCGCTGCATTGTGGGGGTGGAATGGGATAGTACGTGTGATTTTTTATCTTTTGTTTGTGATGGTTGTTCATAGTTCCGACCAGGAGAAAAGCGAACCAATCAACCGCGGTACAGCAGTTTTCGCGGAGGAATTGAAATCTTGCTTCCCACACAAACAGTATATGTTTTAAAGAGTACTTTTACAAGGATTACGAGGGATTCTCTAACTATTTTTTTCAGAATTGTAAACAATGTAAACTAGGAGAATTGAGCCACACTATCGAATGTTTTCTTCTTTTTTTTTTTGCAACTGAAGAAGAAGAAGAAGCAAAGAAAATAAAATGTTGAAAGGAAACAGAACCAAGAAATAAAAGGAAAGAAAAGAAAAGAAAAGAAAAGAAAAGAAA